AGTAAAGGAAGGATTAAACCCACAACAGTTCTGTATTTTTGCTTATAGTTTTCAGACAAGGAAGGTTTGTTGGCAGGTGGTTGTCACTCCTTATAATAAACATGTACGGTCATTTGTTATAATAAACATCTGTAGTAGTTGTCACAGGTCAGGAAGAGGCAAAAAAGGATTTAAATTGCCAAGCAAACAAGGGGCATGCTTAAAAAGAAAGTGTCCTGGAAATTAAAAGCCACAATTCAAAGCAACACCCGGTCAGAGTAGCTCAGACACCAAAGTTCAGTTCTAGACGAGAACTTGAGTAAAATTCCATTTACTCCACACCTGGAAACACCTCAAGAAATAACCACTTGATTTTTTTACTGTCTATTTAGCCTGTTTAGTGGGTAATGAACATTTTGTTCTGTTTGTGTCCTTACAAATCAGGATTTCATTATCCAAATAAGAGAAGGCCTGAAGATTTCAGGGTAACATAAAATATTCCTTAACATATAAAAACTTAATTAAAAAAAAAGTAAGTAATGGTTGTTCACATTCACCTTAAAAACGTGAATTTTTACTGCAATTCACATGTGAATATTACATAAGGAGGAACCAAACATAATCACATTTCTGGCAAAAGAAAATACATCACCCAGCAACAGCATGACGCATCCTATGAAACAAGTTGCTGCCAAAGCTCTACCCTTAAAGCTAAAACGCTTCCCCCCACCCTTAATCACTGAAATCTCAACCATTTCCTCAGCCTGCTTGAGGCAAGAACAACCCCTCACACTGGGTTTTCAAGAGCCCAGGACATTTAGGTAGTTCAAAAAGACACTTTTTGATTTTTGCACTAAGTTTGCAAAAGCAAGGCTGCAGACACACAGAGCCATCGTTCAACCCACATCTTTCTTTTCAGGTATAAAACCCTGCAATTCTTTTATAAATTACAAGCCTGATATATTTTTTTTCAAGTTTTTTTTCATACACTTAAAGAAAAGGTGTTAAAACCTGGAGAAGCAGCAACACCAAGAAGTTTGAAAGTGTCCAGTGGGGAAAATTCACAAAGAATGAAAGGAGAAAAATGTTACAAAGACCAAGAAAAGTCTACAAGCTATTTGTATATTTGGATAATGTTTCTTTTCTAAATACTGGCTCCTTAATCCCACTTGTAAAGCAGGGAGAGAATTTCTCAGGGTAAAACTAATAGGACAGCAGGCACAAGAAAGATAGAATATATTAAACAGATGGTTAAAAATTACAGAATCTGCCTTTTCAGAGAAAAAAAGCTTGAAAGATATTGAAGAAATCACTTTCCACTACCACTCAGGTGAGCAAGATTTTTTTAGCTAAGCTTTAAAATGATGTATGCAGATCACACATGGATCTCAAAGTTCCAAAATGTAATAAAATAAAAGCCTGTCATAACCTACAGCTTTAGGGTGGGTTTGTTTGGAGATGTTTTGCTTTGTTGGTTTTTGGTTTTTTTTAAATAAAATCTAAAACCAACTTAACCGTTATTGACTTGAAGTCCAAAGCAAGAGATAAATGCTTTCAAATTTGAAGCACTGGAAAACACTTTATATTTGTATTAAAATTATTTGAAAACACAAAAAGTGTGGAAAGGTATGAAACCCTCAAACCAGGAGAACAAACAATCCAAGTTGCACATTTTTCCACCTCCATCACCACAGGGCTGAGTCACAACACCCCTGCAATTTTGCCTGCTAAAATAAACCCAGGAAACACCATCTTCTCTGGTGTGTTCCTAAATTTGAACTTCTCAGCTTTCGGGTTTATAAGCCCAGGAATTATTTTTTCTTTTTTTTCCAGCAGTGACTCAAGATCCCACCAAGCACTGGAAGCAAACGGGGTGATCTTTCTTTCAGGAGGGCTGTGAACTGATGTGTTTATCCCTCATGGCATCACTTTGGTACTTTATCTGAACTCACCTGGCACTTATTTCAGTCACAAAATAACATCCAGTACAGCTCTGCAGCCATGTGGACAACTACAGAAATGCTGGGAGCAGCTTGGAATATTCTGATAGGATTTCATGTTACAAGCCGATATCCTGAAAATTTATCGAGCTGGGTCATCAAACTGCACCCACTGCAAGGGCAATGAAGGGAACTACATCCATTTTCCAGCTCACTAATGAGGTTTGCTTTCAAATCAAGTCAGTTTGGAAATTCATCCTTCTAATTACAAAAGTAACCCCCACCTCAACCCTCAGACCAAAAAGTAACCATTTTCACCATCTGTACTTCAGACACACAGGAAATCTCAAGGAAGAATTTCGAATTCTGCACGTAACAGAAGCTGAAATTAAAGGAGCTCTTCCAAATGTTTAGGCTGAGGGAGATTCTTCAGGTACAACCTTTCAAATTGAACTTACAAAGTAGTTACAGGGACCTTGTTCTTTTTTTTCCAAGTGGGTTTGGAACTCCACAAACAAGAAATGCCCCATCAGCACATTTTAGAAAGTACCAGAAACAGCTGGTGAGATGCATAAAGTGGGCACTTGACTCATCTTCCAAGTGTCTCTTCTCAGCTCCAGCCACAGGAATGCTGATTTTTTTTTTGATCTTTTTTTTTTGCTTTCTGCATGTCATCAATCCCTAAGAAAACATTTTATTGCCTTTTTGCCTCGAAAGAGTCAGGCTGGGATGACTCTGTGTGACCACGGACACCTAACAACACACACATCCCAAAACTGCCCGTGGCTTTAGAGATGCCACAGTCCAATTGATCCTGGATCATTATACTGTATATTTATGGGAAATGCTCTGATAAGCCTGCCTGCTTTTTTACCTGTTATTTAATCTATCTGAAAGGAGTTGAGCTGCAACACTCCAAAGAGCTTCAGCACTGTGATCGGAAGCACGGCCCGGGTGACTTAATGGGAATGTTACTCCAAAAATAAAAAATTATCCTGTTGGGTGGTTCAACCTCATCACTAAGCAACTATTAAGGAACGAGGTGGGAACCTGCACAACAGCCAGATGTGTCCTGCAGATCTGCACACACAAGTACAAAGCACCAGGCTCTGGTAAAACCCGATCTGAAGGAAAAACTGCATTAAAAAGACATCTGGGGAGGTGGATAAACGGATTTAAATCTGATAAAGCAACACAGTGTTTAAGGGAGATGGTGGTGGTTTTTTGCCCCCAACAAAAGTTATGAGAAAGAAGTGACTTAAAATTCACGACATTTTCTGAAGGAAAAAAAAATATAAATATGCTTTATTCCTCATGGAAGAGGCTGAGGGTCCTGTCAGCCCTCTCTGTATATGCAGGGACATAGAGGCCAAAATAATCCCACACTGTCAGCCCCAGGAGGGTAAGTTGTTCTCTTTGACAACAGCTTCATTTGTTCCCAAAAAACCACAAATGTCACCCGGCTCTTCCCAGCAGCACAGCCCTTAAGATCTTCCATTTCTGCAGCTAAAAGCCGTCACCACAAACAAGCCCAACCAAAACTCAGGCTGTGCCGAGCCGAGCACATGACTGCTGATCGATCACCCCAGGCCAAATTTACACCACCCAAAAAAAAAAAAAAAAAAAAAGCCCCGTAGGCAAAGTGCTCGTACGTTCATTTCACCGACTGTCACCGGGATTATTCAACCTGGGGATTGTTAGAAAGGAAACTTGAAAGAGAAGAGGAGCAGAGCCCTTTTCCACGCTCAGAGCACTGGCTGCCCACGTGGAGAGATCACCAACTCAAGGCACAACCACAGACACTCGCTCCGCAGCTCTCCCTCAAGCACCCAAGTTCTGGGAGATCACCGGAGAGGAGGAAATTCAATAAAAGGAAGGGCAACCCCCAAAAAGCAACCTGTGGACTCGGTGAGCAGCGCCCGAGCTCATTAAGCACATAAAACACTTCCAACAGAAGTTTCGCTGAACGTTTAAAACAGAAACATAATAACGAGATAGAAACATATTTATTTGAAGTGCAGAGACCAACCGTGGCAGCCAGAAAGGTGATGGACTGAGGCAATTCTATATACATTACCCTCCGTTACATCCCATATAAAATAACCTCTATTATACTACATGTAAAATGACCTCTGTTATACCGTATATAAAATAACCCCCGTTATATTCCCCCGGCCCAACCAGCGCTCCATCAGCAGGTGCCGGTGGGACAAGCACGGGAAAAAGCAACCTGTTGTTGCTGCTCGCTTGTTACTTTGGGGGGTTGCGAGGAGCCCGAGAATCCCGGGGCCCGCACCGTGACAGCGCTGCTTCCCGACGAGAAAAAAAAAAATAATAAAAATAATAGCAATAACGATAAAAATAATAATAAAACAGCCTGGCTCGACTCGGGTGCGGGGGCCGCTCCCCAGGCCCTCCCGGCCCCGCTAGCCCCACACGTGTCCCCGCGGCCGCCCCCGCCTCTCCCTGCCCCGCTCCCGGAGCCGCCCTCCCTCGCCTTCCCTCATCCCGGGAGCCTCCCCGCCCCTCCTCAGGCCTCGCCATCCCCCCCGCGGAGGCCCGGCCGTGCCCTCCCCACCCCCACACCCTCCGCGCTCGCCGGGCGCAGACCTGGCAGAAGCGGCGGCAGTAGTACTGGCTGCGGAGGAGCGCGGGCAGCGCCGGGGGCAGCCCGGGGGCCGCCAGCGCCTCCAGCTCCTCGCTGAGGCGCTCCGACTCCTGGTCGCTCTCGTCTTCCGCCATGGCGGCCCCGCCGCCCCGCGCGTACCGAGCGCGCCGGCCCCGCCCCGCCCCGCCGGAAGGGCCGCCCCCCGCCTCTCCATTGGTCGAGCCGGCTGTCCGTCAGCGCGCGCGACCCTGCGCGGCCCCGCCCCCGCGCCGCGATTGGCCGCCTGCCCCCAGCCGGGCTGCGTCCATTGGCTGAGGGCCGCGTCAGTCGCGCCTCGCCCCTGCGGCGCCGCCCCGCCCCCTCCTCCCCGGGAGCCCGCCCGCCCGTCTTCTCATTGGGCGGAAGCGCCGCCTGTCGGCGCGGGGAGCCAATCGGCGCGCGGCTCGCGGGGCGGTGGGCGGGGCCAAGCGTGTGGGGGCGGTGGAGCGGCGGGGCCGGCCGGCGGGGCCTCGGCAGGAGCGGCGGCGGCGGGGACGGAGGGGACGGCGGGTAACGAGGGGAACGGCGGGGATCGAGGGGGAACCGGGCCCGGCGCGGCGGGGAGGGCGCCGGGCTGCGCGACACGGCCGGCGGGGCATCCCCGGACAAGCCCCGGGCCGCACCTGCGCGGGCCCGCAGAGAGAGCCGGGCCGGGCCTTCCGCGGAGCGCCGGGCGGGGAGGGACGGAGGGAGGGAGGGAGGGACCCCGGGCAGCGATCGCTGAGGGATGAGCGCGGCCCGTGCCGGCTCCGGGAAAAACAGAGCCAGCCGTAATCCCTGCGGGCCCCGGGGAAGCGCCAACACCCGGCTTGCCGGGGGATTTTCTGCCGCCGCTTCAGCAGCCGAAAAGCAACAAGTTTGTGCCGGGTCAAGGCTCGCTTTTTTTTTTCGCTTGATTTCACGTCGGACGTGATTTGGGCAAGAGCAACGAAAAAGAATGAAGAAAGTTACGTGGATGCTGGGAAAAAAGATTGTTTATCTTTTCAGTGTGTCTTTATAGGGCTGTACAAGTCAAGAGTTGAAGTCAAGACTTGTTACAGAAAGCAGCAAACAGAGCGAAAAAAAATTAACTAGATCTGTTTAATACCAAGATCTTTGCCTCTTTTTCTTCAGAAGGGCGTAATCTCTTCCATGTTGCAATGTGTTCGGTTTTTTTTTAGAAAAGAAAGACAATTTTGAAGACTGAATTATGTATTCCTTCAGTTCCAGGCCGAGCAAAAAATGCAGCAGAAACTGCTTTCTGTCTTTTTTTAAAAACATTGCAACAGCAAGCTATGATCAAACAAGTGCAGAGAAAGTACATCATGCCCATAAATAAATGGCCAGGCAACCTTCTGTGTTTCTTAAAAAAAAATTATATATATATATATAGACACATATATATTTTAGAAAATAGAAGATTCTAACACTTGTTGCCTTTTTTTTTCTGTTCCCATTAGGCTGCCCTTAATGATTTGCTTTAGGCTCCAAGTTAAGGTTCAGTCTGATAGCTGTGGTTTGAGCTGGAGCAAAAGCGAGGGCTGTTTCCAAAGGAGCGCTGACGAAGCTCTTGTTTGGTTTTGTTTAGTTTAGATTTGGTTTCTATTTTTCTTTGTTGTTGTTTGGGAGGGAAAGGGGGAGTAACTGGCTCTTGTGAGTGACAGGAACGGTCTTCTTGCCTGCCGTTTGGACAGCTAAATTTCTGCTAAATAAATAAATGTTTTTACTAAACTTCTGCTAACAGAATAAATCCTTTTCGGGAAAGAAACAGAAAAACACTGACCCCCAAAAAAATGTCTTCAAGAAAAGCAGAAAGCTTTTCTGTTTGACTTTAAGGAATTAACAAATTGGGTTTGGAGGGTTCTGAGGGTTGTGAGTTTGAAGGTTCTGAGTTCTGAGCTTTGTAGTTGTAGAAACCAAGAATCTTTTCCTCTGGCCCAGTTTCTTTCGATTTTAAGGTGAAGAGCCTTCCTTCCAATAACAATTTCACACACGGGTATCTTACATGTAATTAATTACCTTTTAGATGCCAACAGCGCTGTGCTGGGTGTTGAACAGGCTCCATGCAGGAGTGTTGGGTTTAATCCTGACGGCAGTTTGGTGTTTTCCAGCTCTGCTGTGCCGGAGGCAGCGATGGAACGGTTCGGAGTGAAATCCGCCCCGTCCCGTAACCGCTCCAAGACGGCCCTGTACGTGACCCCCCAGGACCGCGTGACCGAGTTCGGGAACGAGCTCCACGAGGACGGGGGGAAACTCTTCTGCACCTCCTGCAACGTGGTGCTGAACCACGTCCGGAAATCCGCCATCAACGACCACCTCAAGTCCAAAACGCACACCAAGAGGAAGGCGGAGTTCGAGGAGCAGAACGTGCGGAAGAAGCAGAGGACTCTCACCGCCTCCCTGCAGTGCAACAGCGCTGCTGCCCAGACAGAGAAATCCAGCGTCATCCAGGACTTTGTGAAGATGTGCCTGGAAGCCAACATCCCCCTGGAGAAGGCCGACCACCCGTCCGTGAGAGCCTTCCTGTCCCGCCACGTCAAGAACGGCAGCTCCATACCCAAGTCGGAGCAGCTGCGGAAGGCTTATCTGCCCGACGGGTACGACGAGAACCAGCTCATCAACACCGAAGACCGCTGAGGGGGGAAACCGTTGGCGTCAGTGTCGTGAAGTTTTACATATTGATGGTGTGGTTTATTTTTATATTCATGCATATATATACAGTGTTACATATTGGTTTTACAAGCTATTTTGTATTCTTGTAGAAATGACAATCTGTGCCTGGGCTCAGTGGTGTGGTGCCACAGGTTGTTGCTGACCCTGCTGCGGACTTCGGAATTCCTGTTGAATGTGGGGAGCGTTCCTGGTGTGCACCTGATCTCTGCCCAGTCCAGCTGTAACTGATGGCACTTGGATGGAGGACCTGAACAGTGCATCCAAATATCCGTGGAAGATGGTGTGGTGGGGATTGTTAATGGTGTCAGTGGATTGCTTTGTCCGGTGTCCTGTCCCTGAGTGACCCAAGAAGTGGCGCTGCACGTTTGAACTGCAAGAAGCTGTAGGATGGTTGATTAAAATGCAACTGCTCTGCTGGGGGAGGACTGCTGCAACTTTCTACTCGAGTTTGGTTTACCTTTTAAAATGGTAAACCTTTTTTCTTCTAGAATACTCTCTTACTCTGTTTGGTGCAACTGTGGATGTGTCCATCAGCTCGAATAGCCGGTCTCTTGTGTTGACCTCTGAGCTCCACAATTCTCACAAGGCTGGGAGTTGTGCAGGTTCACTGCGTCTGCATTTCTGAAATCCCTCTTTCATTGTCTCAGCTGTTGCCCCTTCAGCTTCTGTGCCAATCCTCGAAAGCTGAGCAGATAAACCAGTGACTGAGTGTGGTTTGCAGTGCAGCTGCTGGCAAGTGGGACTTGGGCTGGACCAAGTTCTTAGGAGAGAGGGTTAATGCCTTTTCCCAAGGATGCAGAATCTGAATTGGAGCTGGGGGGAGGCCCTAAATTGTGGAGTTGGGAAGGTTTTTTCACTGTGCACGGGAGAAGAGACTCTTCCATCTTTCCCTGAAGGTCCTCGACGTCCCCAGCCTTGTCGTCAGCCTTTCAGTCCAGGGCACTGAAGTGATTAAAGTTGTTACTGCAAAGACTGTTCAGTACCTGTAAGCACAAGTAGGAAAGGGTCTATATTTGGGATTTATCCTGCAATTACAGACCTGGGCTGTATTTCTTGCTCTGGGCCATGGCCACATCTGTTGGGCTGGCTAAAAGTAAAAAAAAAATGGGAAAAGAAAGAACTTCAGTCAGGTTACCCTCTCCAAAATCTGGTTGAGCCAACCAGCCCAGTGGATGCAAGTGCTCTGTGAGACACGAGAGCACTGTGCAGAGTGCTGGCATACAGCTGACCTCTGCCTGCTCCGGATTTCCTGGAGATCCTCTGGGTTCAGGGAGGCGGCCAAGCAGCTTCTGTAGCACAGAAATCCTCCCACCGAGTGGACGCGGTGGGGTAAACATGCTTTAACTCCCTTGGGTGGGGCCAGTTAGCCAGCTTCCTTTCCCCGGCGGAATTTCACAGTGTTTCTTTTATTTCCAGCAACGCTCAGTAATTGCTGAAAAGAGACAAAACAACCTGATTATTTTGCTTCTGCAATTATTTCCCAAGCTGTTCCTAAAGCAGTCTTTTTTTTTTTTTGCTGGGCTGAGGGAGACTTACATACTTAGCAACAACTGTTTTATTTTTTTTTTTGTGCACTTAGCTTCTGAAGAAATGCACTTGTGCTAAGAAACCCTCTGGAATAAATGGACAACACCAAAAAAGCAGGAGGCTGCCCATCCACGTGCACCAGGACAGGGGTGCTCAGCACCCCCACTGCTGCCCCTCAGTCCCAGCCATCCCCTCAGCTCTGCTGGTGGTTGGTGCCGAGCTCCAAAAGGCAGAAACACCAGCAGCAAAATCCTTTAATCTAATCCTAACTATCAAAAAAAAATATGCCTTCCAAAATACCGTTTGCTTTTGCACAAGCTTGGGTTTAGCTTGAAATCATGAGCTGCCTTGGGCTAAAACTCTTCTGGAAATCTTCTTAGGCCAAGCCTGTTCTGTCCTGACAATAATTGAAAGTGTTCTTCTCTCCCAGCTGCTGTCTCACTGCGGTGAAACAACATCCTCACTTTAATGTTTCTTCTTTTTTTTTTTTGTTTTATAAACCTTATCAATGGAAGCAAATGGAAAACAGTGAAGTGTTGAGAAAACAAGCTTCCACTGAACATAAGCACCTGGAGAAAAGAGGGTGATTAAAAGGTGTGATTTTGGGCCGGTTAGCCCAGTTTTTACTAATGTGGGATTTTTCAGGCTGCACCCCCATAACGATTTCGGATACGATTCAATGTTGTGTGTTTTTTCCTTGACTGACAAACTGACAGACATTTTGAAAAGCTTAATGGTGATATTAAACAGTGTCTTGCACAGATTTTAAAAAAAATAAATAAATAAATCCAGTTACTTTTGCAGTTTTACCCAAAAATAAAGAAGTTGGCAACATCAAGAGTTTGGGTTTAAAAAAAGAGAACCAGTCATTCTCAATAAGGCAAAGGAATATTGGAATACTTACTTTCTCAAAAGCTTATTCTACTTCAACAGAGCAATCTCTACATCCAGAGATTTACAGAATTAGGGCAATTCTGTGAGTATTTTCATTAATTCTTCTAGCACCAGTTGATTTTGATGCAGCACAAACCTGGTGAGGAACACGAGCAGCAGAGCCACGGGCAACCAACTCTGAACAGTTTGGAGCCAAAAGTTGGTCATCAGAATCTTCAGTGGAATGAACTTCATTCCACACAGCACTCTGGTGTCTTAGCAAAGGGATGTTTCCATTTTAAAAAGCTTTTTTAAAATTTACAAGCTTTTTTTAAAATCCAGATGCTGATCCATTGCAACAAACGTTAATAACCGGAGTGAAACAATGAGAAATAAAGCACTTCCAGGTAACCTAGAAAGAAGAATGAATAAGTAAGTTTGTAATCATGAATATGACCCAAATCATCCAGACTGTTCTACTCTCAGAGAAAATAAGTGTGAGTGGTTCCACTCAGCTGTGGAACAAGAGTCCTGCAAACACTCGAATTTAGAGCATCATTTTTGCCAGCGTGGCTACAGTCGGATAAACTTTTAATTTATAATAACCTTTTAGTTGCTGTTGATCTGAGGGAAGATTTACAGCAGGAGATTTCTGGCATATCTGAACTAACTAATCACTAAATCCTAGCTCAGAGGCTGTGATTGTTTTATCAGTCTCCATGGGGGGTTCCATTTCTTGTGCAAGAACACTTCATTATTATTTTTCTGGGTGTTTCCTGCAAAGAAAAGGACTCTCAGAAGTAAAGGCAGGATGGTCTGCTTGTCACTTTACCTGTGTAGGGACGAGCCTATAAGGGATACTTTTTGCCAGGTGGTTTTATTAATATATTTAAACTCTAAATGTAATATTTAAAAAAAAATTTAAAAAATAAAAAGAAGAAATATTTTCTTCTCTGACCATGTACTTAAATCAGTGTAGTCAACTGACAGCTAAAATAATAAAATTGAAAAAAAAAAAAAAAACCATGAGCAAGCTTCCAAATTATTAATCAGTTTGAAGCCTCTGATTTGGCAGGTCCTTGGGGGAGGTGAAACATCCACCACAATGAAAGGGAAATCTGTTTTTCAAAACCTCTTCTGCAAACTATGGGATATTTTCCTGACAGAAGGGCTATTTTTAGCAATTCTGACCCGAGCAGTGAAATGCTCCCTGGTTTTGCAGCATAAATGAGCTGGTTTTCAGGAAAAAAAGGAAACAAAACAAACAAACAAAAAGCTGGAAGTTTGGCAAGGATAATCTCTATATTTGCATATAAAGAGAGGCAAGACTCACTGTTGTTGCATTCACATTGTACTCACTGCTACTTAACTCTTCGTGTAATTTGAGTGCTTGTTGTCTTTGTAAAACAATTTTAAGGTTGTGTCTAACTTTCCAAATAAATCTTTTTTTTTTTTTTTTTTAAACAAAGCTTCTCTTTTTTTTTTTTGTGTGGACAACTCCTGTATGAAAACAGGAGCTGGGAGAACAGGAATTAGGAGCCTCAGAGGTTCTGAAGGGGCTTTGTTGTATTGGTTTGCATCGGGTGGGTTTTTTTAACCTGCCCTTCGGTGCTCTCAAATTCAGGGCTGGATTTCGCTGGAATAACTGAGACCTCCTCACCTTACAGTGAGGGTCTCAAGGAGGTAACGCAGTCCCAACGAAAAAACACGACAAGCTCAGATTCTTTGCCACCTCCAGAAAGATTGTGAAGGGAAAACCCTACCAAAACAAACAAAACCCCTCAAAACAAGTAAACAGATACAAACCAACAACCCCAGAGCAACCACTGTCCGGGAAGGAGATAAAGAAAGTAGTGATGCATCAGCAGGGGCACTGGAAGCCTCATTTAGCAAAGCCTTTTTACCCAAGCATAGATGAGTGTCCAAGCTATTTACCATAAAAAAAAATTACAAAATACAGAATCCTCACAACCCATACACAGCGTGCAGGACAGGGAATATATGTCCCTTCCTGCCACTCTGACCCACGTCTCCTCTCCCAAAAGGTGAATGGATGACAGCACAGAAAACTTCCACAAAGCTGCCAAAAAGGGATTGCCCGCCTAGAAAGCCAGTCTCAAACCACCCCAGAGAACAGACAAAACCTTATTTAACGAAAAACCATCAATCTGTAGCAATCCAGCCCAAACCACTCTGTCTAATACAATTACAGAGCTTAAGTGCAAACTACAAATGTTACATTCCTGGCGTAAGCTTTGGGTAACTCGACACAGCTCCGGCAGAAAATTGCAGCGGCAGGAAAACCCTCCAAAATAACCCAAATTTTCCAAGCTAGACATGGGTTCACCACTAGGTGTCTTCGCTCCACACGAATGCCATCTGTGGTCGCAGCGTTTGTCTCCAGGGGAGGCAGCACCGCCAGTGCAGTTAACAATCCCTGGGTTTTCTGGCACAAATATTTGCTCCTTCAGGCTGGATTGTAATTTTTGGAAGTCTTTTTCACTTTCTCGCAAACATCAGGATGATTCTCCTGTGACCAGACCCTTCCAAACACAAAATTTCGAAGCGTTGTTCCATTGTTTTCTCTAAAACATTACTTATTCAAAAAAAAAAAAAAAAAAAAGAATCCTGATAAATTTAAATGTCTTTAAGGCCATAATATTCAGTATTTTCTCTAGAAAAATATAGTCCAGTGTTTGACTACCCTCTAAACTCCACCATTTTAGCACAGGGTTTAAGTGCATGATTTTCCTCTCCCTGCTTTCTTTTGGGGGGTTGATGTATTTGCATTATAGGCAGAAGTGATACCTTCTATATGTACAAAGTTCCTGTTCCACTTGAATTTGGTTTTGGCTTTATGAAGAAACTTTGCCTTGTCAGCAGTTTTCGGGGAGGTTCAATTAAGTGGTTCAATGTTTTAGAAATATTGGGGGAAGAGAGATAGGAAAAAGGAACCCACAAAATCAAAAAAATCAAATTACTTGGCCTTCTGTTACGAGGATGCTAAAAACAAGTAGTAGAAACAATAGCACAAAATTACAAACAGTATCAGAAATAATATTGTTTGTAATATTTAATGTTAATATTTGCAATATCCAATATCCCAGACAAAATTAGAAACAAAACCAGAACTTTTAGTGCAGGTTGCTTTAAGTTGATCTAACAAAAACCAAAATATTCAGCCGTGTTTCTGACCTCCACCAGCTCGTGAACGGTGAGGTGAGTTTGTTCAGCTTCCTAATTCGCTAATGCTGAATTAAAGCACAAGGACTGAAGGGCTGAACAAGTGGCTCCCTTATCTCTGCTATATTGGCTGGTTATAAAATTTAAACCTCACGTGCAGGAGCATCTTTCAAAAAAATTAAAATAAATTAAAATAAAAAATAGCTGTGGTTCCTTGCACCGCGAGGGGAGAAGCACAGAGTTCTGAGGTGATGTGAAACAATGAAGCAGTTCGTGTTTCAACCACACACACACACACAAAACAAACCCCAAAAAGAGGCAGCTGTGTAACCCATCCCATTTTTGCATATCTGTAGCTTCCCCACCCCTTTTTTGGCAGAAGGACCGGTGGAGGCACTCGGCTCAGACACACACACAGCCCGGGAGGGACCATCAGAGCTGCCCTTTTGAAACCCTCGGGACCATCGTGTTGGCAATGCCCAGGCAATGAAGGTTTCTCCAGTCATGCTGCTCAAAAGGACCTTGCTGAACCTTCTCCCAGCAGTGCTGGCTCAGAGCATCTCTCGAGTTCACGGTAAGGTGTGGCTCTGCAATTTAACCTGACCGTGGTTTTATTAAACATTGTGGGCGGGGAGCAGAAAGCAAAGCAGTGCTTAGGGGACCCTGGAGATAACGAGTCTTATTTTATTACCATATCAGGGACCCCTAATTGGACTGACCAGGATGATAATGGTAATAATTGAGAAACATTCAGTGACTGTCTAGAGGAGAACCCCAGCACCTGAGAACCAAACACATTTTTCACTGTGGTTGGGGCCAAAGGCTCTTCCTTCCAAGGGTTTGTGCCTGAAATCTGGGAATGCCGCTAGCTCTGACCTAGGTCTGCTCTGCAACCAAATTATCCTCGCCAGGCAAGTGTTCCCGCAATTACTCGGCTTACTTATCATCCCACTTGAATTATCATCCCACTTTCAACTTTGAACCGCCACAGTTTTTGAATAAGAGGTTCTCCTAATTTGGCCTGACAACCCTGTGCCCGGCACACTCCTAATACTATTTTTACTTTATTTTGTCTAAGGAGATGATTTTGTTGCAAGTTCCTCCTGACTGATATGGTACAGGAGCCGTAAATGTTGGCATTGGAAGGAAGACAGGCATACAAAAGGGCTCAGAGCTGCTGCAGTGGATACACTCAGCTGCTCTTCATCCATTTCAAATGGATCTGCTAAATTGGTGGAAATAAGGTGATAAAATCCTGCTAAAACGACACAAATTGAACGGGCTGTGGAAAGCTCAGCTGACCCACGTGTGACCAGCCCCGCAAATCCGCAGCATCTTCTGACACTCCTCTTTTCTGATGAATAGGACACTTTATTCATACTAATGGGAGATGTTAAACAAGCAGTCAGAGCATCCCTGGGAAGGGAAACCCAAACATTTCGCTCACAAGACATGAATTACCAGGCCAGTTGCTCAATCAGGGTGTGACCTGAGCCCCAGGAAGCTCCTGAACTGCTTGCTTTACGCTGGATTTTCCAGTGACTAAACTAACGTGCTTCTGAAGTGGTTGTATCTTGAGCTGACAACCTCCTTCACTACCTAAATGAAAGTATTTTCTTTTCCTCTAAGAAAATTAGAAGATTAGAAAATGAGGCGCTTCATTAAGTCCCTCTGTCATTAGTCCCTCGCATAATCATCTCTCTTCATTGCCTGGTATAATTCTTTCATAGCTGGATGAACCTTCCACACTCCTCTGCCAGCTCCCAAATACTGCTTTTAAAACAGAATGGAAATTCTGTTCATTGCATCAACCTTTTTTTACACAGGGTTGGGGGTTTTGGTTTGGTTTGTCTTCACATTTGATTAGGATTTATTCTCAGATCTAAGACAGAACTACTTAGAGTCCTCCAAGAACATTAATATTTCTTTCTCTGCACCTACTACAAAAATAAAAATTATATTCACAGGAGCATTACAGGGAGAAAAGTTCTGCAAGTCAGTCTTTACAGAACCATAATATATATTTTTTACGTGTGTTTACATTTTATGCCAAGATTTTCCCAAACTTGCTTGGTTTTTATTTGGTTAAAAATAAGCTGAAAACCAAAGCCAACTTATTTAAGCTCTGTGTGTTGCAGATCTATCCAAAGCTTCCCTTACTCCAAAAGAAAACAAAGTTGACCCCTCAGATTTCATAGACCAAGTCAATAATAATAATAACAACAACAACAACAATAATGTTTTCTAAATTAGGGACAGAAAAATAAGCCTGTTTTCTCATAAATCACAAGCAGAAGGACCTTCTGCCCCCACAGCCCTGTAATTTTTAGTCCAGTTAGACCCTGTTTCCTTTGTAACATCAGAGAACAGGCTGCTCCTCACAAGGAGTGGTTGTTGCTCTCTGGGCTACAAACACAAAAGAAATGAAGTGTTTCATCCCAGGGAAAATCAAACCCAGCAAGCTGGGGTTTAATAATAATAATACAACTCATTCTTGCCCCCAGAATCCCGTCCAGAAACCGAGTACGTGCCCACTGGTGGTGGGCACAGCTCTCAGCCCCAGTGACCTTTCTGTGGGATACCCTGCACATGCCAGCACAAAAGTTCCACCTTCAGCTTTCAGTCACCAAAACATAAAAGCATATTTTCTGCACTTACACGGCTTTCATCAAGGAAGGATTAAAAACGATGCAACTCCTCATCAGCTACGTCAGCAAACGGGCCAAGCACTGCAAACACCAGCACTGCCAGAAAAAAAAGAACGTTGTTGGCTTAATTAGTCATGTCATGGCTGTTTTCTGGAACATAAAACTGAACAAAAAAAAAATCAAGCAATGTTTTTATTAAAGTATTTAATATTAAAGTCAGGAGTATTTCCCTGCTGGACAAGTTATGGAACACGTGCTTTCATGGGGAATCCTGGCAGGAGGTTTGCTTTACTTGTGTAAATTAATTCCTGGAGCCAGAGAGCCCAGCTCACTGCAGCCTGTTCAGAAACACACTCAAGTGTGGGATCTGAAAGAAAACGTGCTTTTAGTCAGCGGGGATCTTACTGAGGAGTTGAAGTTTGACCTATAAAGTCTGTCACAGGTCATTTTTCCCCCTCATGCAAAGTGCACGTTCAGAGGCTCATCGTGAGCACCAGTGGCTCAGTGTGAGACTGAACACTTTAAACTCAGTGTGAAACCCTGTCACTGGCTGCTGTAATGCTGGCACAGAAGTTAATTCAGCTTATTTTAGAAAGAAATATAGAACAGAATTGGCAGTGCCCCTGCCACTGACTTCTCATAAGAGGAAAAAAAAAACCTGAGAGGCTCTTCAGCAGAAAAGTTCACCAAGCCACGTGTGTGCTCAGGTTTATTCACTCAGTTTGTTCAGTCAGGTTTGTTTATTCAATTAATGAACTGGAAAATTTTCCTCTCATTGTCAGGAGTGTTGGTTTTTATTTTCCTGTTTAAAAAATATATATATATCACCCATTCTCTATAAAATCACTAATTGTATTAATTTAAATTGTTAATTAATTTATATTGTATATTGCAAATTAATTTATATTGTTATTTAATCCCAAATCTACACCAAAACCCCTATCCCTGCCAAATGGCCTTTGGAGGAGATCTGTGACACATATTTTAAAAAGTTAGTCTTAAATATTTGGTTCTATATGAAATATGTCCCAAACATTCTTGGTTTTAAAAGGATTTTCTCCATTTTTTTTTATATCCACTTGCAGTTTATTGCCAAGGGAGGTGTGATTTGGGACAGAGGAAAGGTTAACTAGATATTTCAGGGCATTTTCATCACCAATCCCAACACTTAATCACTAGAGGAATAAAAAAAAGATGGATTATAAGGAAAGGCTTTCTCTAGTCCAGATTTTTGGTTATTGAAGTTTAAAACAATTGACACTAAGAATTGCACAAAGCCTGAGAAAAACGTTTTAACTCTTCTCCATTCATCTCACCTGGTGATATTGTTCCAGAAAGTCCCCAAACAACATTCACCAAGGACTGGGTTTCTTCCTGGTGAGAATTTGAGACCCTGAAGTCCAAAGCAATTATGATTATTGTTGTGCTCCAAGAATTGTCTTGTCACAGTAAAAAAATACCGAATTAAAAGGAGCTTGAAGTCTGATTGGTTTAAGTGGTCTTTACCTGGCAGGCAGAGGCTTTTTTCCACAGGATCCACAAAGGATAAGTAAGGAAATTCAATCCAATTTCAATAAGCTCTTTTTTTCCCCTACCGAAACTGCAGCTGACCTAGAAAAACAAAGGCAGGACAAGTTCCTCCCAAGTGCTGTTCCCAAAGCCCAGGGGCACATTCCATAGGTGAAGAAAACAAGGATGTTGGAGTCAGGATCTCTGGATAGCAGGGAATTCTGCTCTGGGAGTAGAATTTAACCAGAATTAGGAATAAGCAAGTGAAGGATCAGCACCTGCAGACAAAGGAGCAAACCTGGGGCAGGTGTTTGCACAGGCTGTGTGGAAACACTGTTCAAGCTCACCTGGGGGGAGACAAGCATGTTTTACTTCAGATCTCTTCAAAATATTGGGAAAAGAACAAGTAATAGGAGTGCCAGTGGAACTTAAAAAACAAAACCAAAACAAACAAACAAACAAAAAAACCAACCCAAACCCATAACAAAAAAAAAAAATCCACACAAAAAACCCCAAACAAACAAAAACAAAGAACAAACTGTAACCAACTAAGCCTTTTATTAGCAGCAAAACAGCTCCTTATGGTTGAATTGGAGACATACAAACATATTTTATTTCAATTCTCTTAAAAACATACTACGTAAGGAAATAGAACGTAAGGTCAATGCCAATGGAACTTTAATTAAAAACAAGAAACAGAACAAAACAAAAAACCCATCCCAAAAAAGCCACAACACCCCAACAAACAACAACAACAACAATAAACCATCAAAAAACCCCATCAAACAAACAAACAAAAAAACCAAACCAAAACCAAAGTATAAATTGTAACCAACTACATTTTTTATTAAGCAGTGAAATAGCTCCTTGTGACTGAATTGGGGATAGTGCAGGAAGTTCTAAGGATGGAATTTTCTCACGAGGAAGAGAACACTTGAACTGCTTATTCCTTTCACCTGCAGAGCAAGAGGGGCACAAAATCTACCCCTGAAGTACATCCAGACCTCAGCAAAGCTTCTGGTTTGGAAATTTCTATATTCCCACTCAGAAATAAAGAAATTTCTGTGCTGCCCCTGTTCCCTCAAGTGCAAGACAATTATTTCTTTAGAGCAATGTTTAATATTGATGAGGCATTTCCCTTTCCAAGCACCTACAAAAGTAATGTTCATTGGAATTCATGAGAAACTCAAAACTTGTTTGAAAACTGAGAGAAGTTGGACTTTCTGGACCTTCTATAAAAGTTTTGGCATTTTATTTCTGGGGGGGTTGTGTTTTGGTTGGTTGGTTTGTTTTTCTCCAAAGGAGAATTTAAAAAAAAAATAATAAAATAAAACTATATGATAAAATACTTAGATGAAGGCCAGCAGAAAATATCTTTGCTGCAGAGATAGACACATCCTTCTGGAAATATATGTTACATAAGGTTATATCAGAAAGAAGGCTGCTATCAATCCTTACAGATCACTTCCTGGAGCATTATCTTCCAGGGCAATCATTGCTCAACGAACTGAAACCTTGACTTTCTAATTTGAGCTTTTAGTTTCCACTTTCAGGCTCTTGATCACCACGTGCTGCTCTGCTGCTGTGGTGTGACCAAAGTAGGTCTGTCCTAATTGCCTGAAAGCTGAAATCATCCGAAATCTGCTTTCTTTTAATCAGAAAGAGATCTGAAGTGAAAGAGAAGTGATCCTGCTTCACTTTTAGCCCTTTATTTGTCCCCATACCTACCAGAAATGTGAGGAAAACAGTTATTTCCTTCTTCTTTTCTATCTTACATGATTTTATTATGTCCTTTCCTCTCGGTCTCTTTTCTTTGAATGAAAAAAAAACACAAAACGGCTTGTACTCTTGTCACTAATTTACAGCTGATGAGTTCTTATCTCCCACATCTCCAAACTTACTGAAGAACTTACTTTCTTTGCCAAACAAAGCCATTTTTATTCTGCTGCTCTCATTCCTTCTCTTCTCAGGGATGTTGAATCAATTCTACTTGCCCTTGGTTTTCATCCTGATGTTTTCCATTAGCAAAAAGACCTTGTTTGTACCCAGGGCTCTTTCTTCTGGCTAATTTTCTTGTCTCCATCCAAATTATCTGAATTTCCTCCACAGGGACCAGTTCTGAAGTCCTTGTCCAAGCTGCTTTGTCTGTGTGTTTCTGCCACTCTCCTCACCCCACTTCAAACCTCATTTAAAGCCACCCTGACCAAGGGAACCTTGGCAATCAAGGATGACTTCAGATTTGAACCCCTCAAAGCAGAAACTTCCTGGCATTCCAAGTTCTGTGGGCAGAGGAGTTTCAATATTCCACATGGCAGAGACATATCAGAGACATCTTTTTCTGCAGTGGCTGCAAATAACAGGGAATTAACCTACTCCTTGTTATCAAGCAAGTCCAGGTACATTCAACAGGGCAAAATGAGGACAATATTAAAGATACAGCTTTGAGTGCTACCTAATTTTTCCGTGCCCATTTCCAAAGCCCCTATAAAAGAAGGTAGGGCAGTAGGAATCACATGGGTATCACTTATTGTTACTTTGAACTAGCCAGAGAAATAAAGCATCACATGGGTCTTTGAGAAAAGGTCAGGGCATTCAAATACCAAGTCCCAGAGTTACAGTGAGTCAAACCCTTGACCTGAACCCTCAACTAAACAAAATGTAGCAAAAATCTAAAAAATAGATGAGATATATTTGCATTAAACATAATTCTACTCAAGATCACAATTATAAAAATCTCTACCAAAAAAAAAGGCCTTTACTTCTGCAAGTTAAGAAGAATTGTGAAGTAACTAATCTCAAATAAATCTAAAAGGAACAGGAAAGATCTGTGAGAAGGATGGCACAGGAAGGGTTGCTATGTATATCTTACGTGTTTTCTGCACAAAATATGAAATTTCTAACTTGACTGAGATACAGAAAAAAAAGGAAAGTTTATATCACAGAGAGAAAGTGCATTTTAACAACCCCCTGGAAACAAAAGGAGCAGTGGTGTTGATGCTTTCTGCTCTCACCCTCCCATAAAGAGATCAGATCTGCTTCAAGGAGACAAGGGAAGTCTGGAGTCAGGACAGAGACAAACCCCCTGTGATCAGAGTTATGGGGAGCACCCATCAGCCTCCCACTGCTGGGATCTGTGTCATGTTTGTCTTCCCAGGATCTGATGAAGCCGGAGATTGCTCAGCCGAAATTCACGTTCCGAGCCGCTCCCGGTACAGAGCCCACGTCGGGGGCTCTCTGTCCCTGGAGTGCCCAGTTCGGTACTGCCAGACAAAGCCACTCCTGCAGTGGTGCAGGATGGAAGGAGCCACCTGTGTGCAGCTGGAGAGGGGCCAAGCAGGATGGAAGTCGGACTCTGTGTTCGCTCTGGAGATCTCCCCGGTCCATCGGAATGACACCGGGCGCTTTCGGTGCCAGGCCAAAGGGGTCAACTTCTCCATTGAGAGCCACGAAATAAAGGTCATCGTTGAAGGTGAGCCCCCTGGGTTGTGAGAGAGCCCTGTTAAATGAAAAAAATGCTCTTTACAGCAATACTCCTGCCTCCTGGAGCACAGCTCCTGGCGTGTTTGGCCGGGAGCAGAGTTGAGCTGGTGCTTGCCTCTTCCTCCACGCTTTTGGTAGGACAGAAACCAAAGGAAAGAACAACATAAAGAAATAACAGGGGGATCTGGAAGAGAAAGGCAGAGCTGCCAACACCAAGCAGCCTATCTGGTAATTAAAAAAATACCAGCTGGGACAAAAACAGCTTGTGGGAGCACAGCCTGGTTGTCCATCACAAGGACTGGACAGGATACAAATGCTCCTGGAGCAGCAGTCACTGAGGCCACACAACAGCAGGGAGGACAAAGCAACTCAAGTGCCTTGTGGAAAAATTGCCTCCTTGCAACAAACAGGGTAGGATTTTGTACCCCGAGATGTTCAAGAGCAGGAAATATTTACCGGAGCTTTAAATGATCTTAAAGGCAAATTAGGTCTTCTCATTGACTGAGTTGGCGTTCCAAGTCCAGAAATGAGGAGCCGTGTCTGCCCTCCTCAGCGTTGCTCTGCAGCTCTAGAAAGTGGTCTGTGTGTCCTCCTGAGCCCAGGCAGTGAGGGCTAAGCTTGTTCTGTTGCCAGTTCCTCCCCTGGGAAGTTAATGAACTTTAAAACCTTGTTTAATTCTGCAACAGAGAGAGTAACGCAAAAAATTAAGGCTTTAACATATATGTCCAGCTCCTGATGCATGTTTCCTCTGAAATATGTTCTGGTGATCCATTTGAATGCCCAAGAGGTCTGAAAGATAGAACTACTCTGTTGGCACTGGGAGACAAACTCATCATCCCCCCTCCTCCAAAACACCTTTCCCTCTGCTTGATGCCATCGGTGCCAAATGTCAAGTTGCTGTTTCATTTCCCTGTCCTGCTTTTCTCTTTCAGAGAAGTCTGTAAACATCACAGTTTCACCAGAAAGTAAGTTCTTGTTTCCTCTTTAAGAGAAAGGAACTAGCCTGTATTGCTATGAATCTCTGGTTTGTGCAGTCCAGACAAGTTCTAAACTCACTGCTAAGCTACAATTGCTTTCTTCCTGCTTGAGCAAAATTCAGGCTCTCAAGGGGCACAGATTTCAAGGCTGGGACTGTCCAGAATTCAGCATAAAAGGGACAAAGCCAATTAAATTACCTCCTGGTGCTATGCACTACACTTCTGGTATATTGTTTAACATCCCAGTAATAATTGGCTTACACATAAAAAGTGTTAGGATCACTTTGAACACAGCCTGAAATGTGGGTTTTACCCACAGTGGGCTGTTGTTCACAATCACAATTGCAAAAAATATGTTGGAATTTCAGAGCATTCCTCTAATGCTGAGCCTCTCTTTGCTCCCTGCCATGCATCAACCACGAATTACAGCTCCCCATGCACTTTTCCTTCCAGTATCTTCCCACTCTGTGGGATGCCCATGGAGCTCAGGTTATCTCCTGACACGCTGCACCAAGTCACAGAATAATTGTCCATTTAAGAATTTAGTTGCATCAGAAATACATAATATTTATATATATATATAAAAAGCCAGTCAAATATTTTTCTATGCTAATGCAATTTTAGATACCACCAGAATCTCAGAAGAGTCTCAACAATCTGGGGACTACAACATATTGCACATTATTTATGCCTCAGCACCCGTGGGCCTGTGTTTGTTCATCATTGGATGCACGTTTTGGTGTCTAAAGAGGTGCCATGGTGAGTAGTTTTAAACTTAGTTTTAAACTGAGCTTTGCCTAGGGTGCATTTCATTGCACTCCTTCTCATGGCTTCAGGGCAGTTGCATTCAAAAGCTCTATGAAAATCCCCTTATTGTGATGTCCTTGAACAGTGTGCCAGTCAAGATATTGAATTTTTAAGACCTTAATTTGCCCCTTGTATTGTTCCCTTACAGGGACAGAAGGATGGAAGCTAAAGCAATAAAAACCTCAGACTTTACAACAGTGGGTTTTTTTTCTTTCTTTTTCCCCAGCAAAGCAAAAGAGAACTCCACTGGCACAACAGAGACAAGAGAGCCTGGTATGTTTAACTTTTCCCACCAAAACTTGACCACAACCACGTCCCAGGACCAAATCTTTGGGTAGTACAAAACATGGCACAGGATCAGAGGCAGAGTCAGGGACCTTCTTGGTGCCTGGATGGTTTGTCTGGAGTGAGACATCACCATGGCTGAGGGAAAAGAACTAAGGGTCTTAGACACAGAGGTACTTTACTTTAAATTCCCATTAAAACACAATTTAGGCATCTAAATTCCTGTTAAAACACAATTTAGGCACCTAAATTCCTGTTAAATCACAATTTAGGCACCTAAATTCCTCTCAAAACCTATTAATTCCTAAGTGCCCTCCCTATTCTAAGTAATAGTTGAGGCACCTGAAGCACCTGAGTCGAGCTGGTGCAGACTGTCTGTGTAAGACAAAATATGACCCACAGAAGGAGGTAAATGACTGAAAATAAAGGCTTTAATAAGGGAACTAACAGGAATTCAACAAGTCCTGCAATTATTTCCAGAGAAATCAGATGTGCAGAAGGCAGAACACTGAAGGTGCAAGCAGAGCTGACAATTATCAGTCACTGGGGTGGGGCTGGTGGGGATCAGAGAAAAATGAATGACAGCAAATGACTTAGAGGGGATGAATTTATAGAGGAGAATTTTGTTTTGGAGAAGGAGAAAGATTTAATTGGAAGATAGTAAGAAAGAGGATAAGAAGCAAGAGATCGGGAAATGAGGGAATAGGAGGCAATGAGGAAAGGGGAGGGTGGTGTTTGGAGGTGGAAATAAGGAAGATTTCATAAACTGTTAAGGGAAAGCCTTGAATGAGCAGCATAGAAGAGCTCTCACAAAATGCTAAATCAGTTTTGCCTTAAGAAGTTGCCATCTTGCAGGAAAACACATGAAAGTTTGGGAAGGGAAATGGAGAAAGGCAGGAGACAGAAGAGTGATTTCTAACTTTATTCCAAAGATCAGAATAAAGTCCAGTGACCAGGTGAATCCAATCCACCTCTGCTCAAAAGCAGTTTAAAGGGGATAACACACCTCGGACAAAGGCTCTTACTTAGGAAATAAAGAACTCTACACTCTGCTGTGCTTTCTGCAGGTCAGGAGCCCAGCAGCTGCTCCACCCCCCGGTGCTGGAACAGCACAAGCTTCAGAAGAAAGCCCCTCACTCTATTGTCCCATGGCCAGCCCACCACAGGCCTTGAAGGACAACGCAATTTACGACAACGACGTCCCTCCCTGGAACGCTCAGAGGAGAGCACTTCACCCACCCTGCAGCTTTCCCGGTGTCCCTTCCATCCCAGTTTTACCTGAAAGCCCAGATGCCCTCACCTATGCTGCACTGAACCATTCTGCCCCTGCAGGAAGATGGCAGAGAAGGGAACGAGCCCCAGTAAATGAAGTTACAGAATATGCCTCCATCAACGTGCACCGATGAACACGGCCAGGACTGCTGCAAACAACTACATTGCAGTCTCAGTTCCAGCATCCCTCCAGGATGTTCATTTCTCTCTTGGGAGAGCTTCCTTTTATTAAGAAGGACCAGTGGATGCTCTGCTGCAACGCCAGAATTCAAAACACAGCCCGTGTCAATGGGTGGGTATTTGCACTGTGTGTTTGTCTCTTAAATATTGGAATAAAACCAGTCAGCTTTTTTTTTTTCCCTTTCTTTTTAATTTTTCCCCAGTATTCTGCTTCTACTATGGCTTGAATAACCACAAAGGGGAGAAAGGAAAGGTTTTCCTAGGATAGAAACATGCAAAAGGAACCTGTGAGGAAGATGAAACTGAGTCAGGTTCATTTCTCCCAAGTAAAAGTTGGTGGGAGAATTTTTCTCTGAGTTTCTAAGGACACTCTTCCAAGGGTGCAGCTTTTCAATCCAGTTCACTCTACCTCCTTGCAGAGTTCTTTGAGCACCATGAATGTCTAAAGCTGGTGTTAACCAAAATCTAGTGAGCACTAATGTGTGTGTTTGTATTTTGTGGATGGGAAGGAGGGGGGTGTTGCTTTACAAAGAATTCTCACAAATAAGGTGTGAGAAAATACTTAAATATAGCAAATTCTCTTATATATATATATATATAAATATTTCTCTTGGTGGGATGATTGATTGGTGAAGTTACTGCAAGTTGCATTTGTCCACAATGGATCAATGGAAATAACAAATGATCAGCATTGACTAACACCCCCCCACACTCAAAAATCAAACTTTCTGTTCACAAATAACCACGTATAACTGTGTCATGCTAAGTTTGCTTCCCAACACTGGCACAAAAAAAGGTGATTATGCATCATACCTGGGTTTGTGGCAAAGAAGATAAAAACGAGATAAAGATCAAGGGTGCCCTTTGAAGTTTGAAAAGAACACTTGTGCCCCTCGTCTGCACCAGTTTTTCAGCTCTAGCTTGGAAGCTGCAACTGCTCTTGCAAAATAATGCTCTTAAAATTACCTTTAGTGACTTTTGCATCAGAGGGTTTTTACAGCAGCAGGCAGAGAGCCTTTAACTTGGTTTGCATCCACCTCGGTGTTCTGGTGAGCTGGATGGTTTGTTGTGCTTCTGGTGCTCTTGGGATCTGCCTCCCCCTCACCTCTGAACTCAGCCACAGTATCTGTGTGGATAAAAATCCATGGTAATTAGTTATGTACTCAGTTTCTGCACCGAGTTGGTAGATCAGTTTTTGTGGGTTTTTTTTTAAATGTATAAATTATCACTCCAGTAAATCACTGACAATCCTCATTAAAACAGAAGCAGTAGAAAACTGTCTTCTAGAAAAATTCAGCTGCTCTTTTTGTGTTAGTGGGCCAATCCTTATATGGCCAGAGATTAATTATTTTAGGTGAAGGACTGGAAAACTTGGAGTAGCTTGGGTGTGAAAAGGTCCAGAAACAGAGCTTTGATTGTATTTCTTGCTCAGATGGTAAAGGTACAATTATTTCTACAGACAAGCAGCTCTGCTTCTCTGACACAGATTCCACCTCAGCAGCCTTAAACTGAAAAACAAGGTTTGTTCAGAGCAGCCCTGGAATAATTACTGACACTTGGGACTTAGAACGAGACTGAATGCACGTGGAAGGTGGATCACACCATCAGGACACGCAAGGCCTGGTGAAATCTTCACGTGGCGTGGCTTCACCTGTACAGCAAGGCTGATTCTGGGCTCAATCAGGTCCCCAGAGAGCCCAGTTTGATTTGGAAGATGAGATTTTTTTGCAGATAAACAGGAAGCTCCTCACCACCTCACCGACACGCACAGGCAGGCAAAGCTCGGGAGCTTTGCGGTGGCTTCGCTTTTTTTAAGCAAAAAAAATTGAAAGGCTGTGCCTTTTGAAGCAGGGAAACTGAAGGTGCTGACTGAAACCTTCTGCTTCTTAAGGGGCAGATGCTCCGTGCAGATAAAGCTCAGCACTGCTCAGTTTTCACAGCCCTCTGGAAGAAGTGACAAGGGGGGCTTTCCACCATCCACTGGCCCTAAAACTGCCCAGTGCAAGGAAGGACTCTGCTAAGGTAGAGTCACTGAAGGTGCTACACACTCATCTCAATTGTCTTGTGCACCTTTCCAGAACATAATTCGCATTTGGAACATCCCACCCAACGCCGGTGGCAGCGAGGCTCGGTGGATGGCCACCAGATTTCACACCTTCACCTTGCAGCACACCCCACCAGAGGGGCAGGGCAGCCTCCTGGCTCACCCTGTGCACTCGAGGTGTGACTGAAAAGGGCCAGCTCTGGGTGAAACCACGCAGTGAAACCACGCAATCACAACAGTGCACAACGACCCAAAGAGCAGGAGAGAACAAACAGGCTCAGCACCCCGTCTGGGGGAGATGAACAGCCCCTCTGAGATGTAATCTGAAGTCCTTCAATTTGTATGACACCATTTCCCAGGTCTTGCCTCTTTCCCTTCGCTATTTTTGCCCCAGCTGTTCTGCACAGGTACAGTCACACAGGAAGCCCAGAGAACAGAGAGGCCAAGCTGCACGAGCTCGCAGCTACACCCACAAACCCACGCAGGGGGAAGAGGGTGAAGTCTGGGGGACTGAAGGTCTGCTCGTGCCAGCAGAGCACTGCAATCTCCTGCAAGGGAGGGAGATGTGACAGGTCACTCCTCCCACCAGGAACCCACACAAGCCTCTTAAGAGATCAGATGAGATGAACGAGCCCTTAGACAGCAGAACACACCCACCATCCTGGTTTCACTTTGTCCAGTTGTTCCCGCTGCCCCAAACGGTGCCTCTTTATAAAGGCATCATACATTTACACTGGTGTGACCTTCGTTCACTTGTCAACCCTCGTGCCCCAGAATTTCTACCAGACAGGGGACTTCTTCAGGCAAACCACAAGCTTTTTCATACTGCTAGATCAACCAACAGCCTGCTGAGCCTCGTTTCTCCACCTACCCTGTTTTGCAATACTTTCCCCCACATCCCCATAGTAGCCTGCGCCCCATTTTAGCTCACAAGGCAGCAAGGAGAGCACAGGAGGAGGTGGTGCAGCTGACAGCACGTGAGAAGTGGAACTTGAGCCTCCAGATAAACAGCATTGCCTCACACTGCTGGTTTTCCTGTAGCTTTCCACCTAAGAGAGCGGTCAGGATTGCAAATTTGCAGGAATGCTCCCAAAAACGAAGGAATAGGGTGCACAGTGTTTGTTTTTCAGTTCAGCTGAGCTGCTCCACCCGGGTCCTGCTGTGCATTGCCTGCAGTGTTAAGGCCGTGGATTCACGTGGGGAAAAAAAAAAGGGATGGCACAGAGGGAACCATGGGATGGTTCAGGACTTGGCAGCCAAGCTCCACACCACAGCCTTATCCCTGCACACCCTGTGCTGCCAGCTTGGATCTTCCCAACCTCTGGGCAAGTGCTAGCATTCCCAGCATCTCCCTGCATCCCAGGTGCTCATCTAGGACAGAAGGCACAAGCCCAGAGCTGGGCCCTGGGACCAGACCACGGCACAGGCAGCTGAAGGAAGAAGTGAACATCCATTTCCCTGAAGAGGGATGCTCCCTGTCCTGCTCTGTGCAGAGGGTTCCTCATTCTGTGGTCTCCGTGGCTCTGCTTCCCCACCATTTCATGTCAACAAACGTCAGCCAAGGTGAATGGGAATCAGAGACAGGAACAGATACTCCAACAGCGACCAGGGAAGAGAGAGGAACAGATTTCAGGGGTGGAGAGAGAGCAGGAGTGCTGGATGGACACCCAGAAGAGGACACCCGGAACCTAGAGGGCAGTGGATTGATTTAGCTACAAAGCTTGAGGAGAAGACAACCCCATATCCCTCAATACAGACAAAATGAAGGAATCTCATTTTTCTGTGAGTTTTAAGTGGTAGCTACTATTTTCCATTTAAAAAGCCTGCACTGGGCCAGGCCTGCTCACACTCTACTCCTGCTCACCTGATGAAAACACCTGAGAACCACAAAAGCCCACACTTTCATCCCCACAGCTGAGATCACCATGACCTTTGCAACCCTCACCACCACATATTACATCTCTAGCCTGAACTCAAACTTCCAACTCCTATTCCCCTTTCTGCCTTCTCATACAGGCACATCCCATGGTGACCCACAGGGGAACAGCTACTGCCACATTTCCTGGAAAATCACTAAAGCAACAGGCAATAATCAGTATGGGTAACACTGTTCAGAGGCTGAGCTCCCGACTGTTATGAACCTTGACAGAGAAGTTCACATTATAAATAACTGTATAATTAACTGCACACCTTGTATAATTGGTTTGAGTCAGGAGACATGAAGTTTGGGGTTAAGGATATCCTTGGCATGAGATGTAACCAGACTTAAGTGAGAGCACAGAAGTGATCACTTTGCATGACTGGAAAGTAAAACTTTACTGCCTTGGAGCTGGCAATGTGGCATCTGCATTTTATCCAAGTGGCATTTATCCTCAGGTAAACTACCTTGAGCTCTTTTTTCCAGAGGAGATTTGCTAGACAAAGTAGAGTTTTACTTTCTGGTTGTCTCACCTCTGCACATCATTACTGAGACTCCACTCTCGCTGCAGCTCGGCCACCTCTGCTGCTGAGGCACAAACCTGTCACCTGGCAGTGAATCACTCCCTCTCAGCTCCAGAAAGAGTCCAGGCACTCAGGGACAGCCATATCCAAGTTCACAACTTGGTGCATGAAAAGGAATTTCAGGATCCTGCACTTGACAACAGTCAATGACAGGCAGTCTCTCCAAGTTACTTCCCAAAGGGCAAGCTGTCTTGGCTGATAAGGATCTCTTTAACCTGATAATAACCACCTGTCTACGTATTTCCCTCTGAAATTGTGGCTAATAATCCTTTCAGTGAGTGACTTGCCCCTCAGTTGGGGTATTTACCCAGAAAAGGGCCCAGCTGGTGCACGAGCAGCATTCCTGCAGGTGGCCAGATGCCCCAGCACTCATCTGCTGCCTCAGGCCTGGAACTGAGACCACATCTCCTCAGGTCTCATCACTGTTTGCTCTGTACTCACAAAGAGCCAGCTTTTCACCTGACACGAAGGGGTCCAGCACCATCAGTGTCTACAAAGTTATTTCACCCCATACTGGTCTGTAGGTGTTTGGATTTCACAGACAGTCCATCAAAACAGTTCTCAGGATAATCTATAAAGTCACTACTCATAGATTTCTGTGGTCTGAGAGGCTACATTAATTTTCTCTTATGTAACCTGTTCCAAAACAACGCCTGCCTCAGTAAAAGAGGTAGGATTATTGAATGTTGGTGTGCAATAAGACACTTACCTGCTTTCTAGTGTTTCTGGATTATGGGGAGGACAGTAAAGCTATTTAAGTTGTTAATACACAGAAGCCTATGTAAAATTCACACTAGGAATTTAGCCTGCATTTTCACAAATTCTACAGAGGCTAAGAACTTTTGGGAAATGGCATTTCAAATGCACTTAATAATTAATAATAATAACAAATAAATTGCAGC